GGTTCAATAATACTAGAATCTAGTACTGTAATTATTGAAGCCTCTTATGTCAGCTCCAACCTCAGGTGTTTTAAAATTCCTGTTGGTCCACCAGGGTGAGGATTTCCATGATTTGAACTGACAAACTAAGACTGGCCCATGAGGAACTCCATATCTCAGTGATCAAAGTATTTGGCCCTGCAGTGTTTAAGTAACATATGCATTTGCACTCGTCTAGGCTGAAGTTTCCAGCCTCCTCTCTTACTGATAATTGAGTAAGTCTTTTCAAACAGTGAAGCCAATCCTTTTCTTTCTTGCTGTTGAAATATAGTACTTGCAGTCTTCTTCAGGGTCTCAAGTTCTTGAGGTTCTTTTAAAAGGATATCTTTGGCTGCTGTGTTGAGATGTGTGTCTGTGAAAGTGGGTATGTAAATCTGACTTTGCTAAAGTCAGCAAAGGTTTAGGTATGGAGACTCATTGCAATAATTCTAGAAGGAGTGATGTTGGTGGCAAGGTAAGAAATGGTCAGATTCTGGATATATTTCCAAGGTAGAATCAACAGTATTTAGTAATGGAGTTTATAAGGAGCATGAGAGAAAGTGAAGAATTAAGAGTGAGTGCAGATTGTGGCCTCAGCATCTAGAAAACTTGGATGCATCACTGAAGCGAGGGCTCCAGGAGGCACAAGCTTGGGAGAAAAGCAGAAGGTCAGTTTTAAGTTTGAGTTGTTCATTCAACTTTCAGATGGAGATGATGAGTAGGCAGTTGAACAGTCAAGTGTTGAGTTTAGGAAATAGATTCCAGCTATGCAGATAGAAATTTGAGAGCCTCTGGCATACTAATGATATTTAAAGACATGGGCCTGAATGAGGTCACCAAATACCTGAGCATAGATAACAAGAGAACTGATAACTTAGCTCTGGATTTTTTTTTTTTTTTTGAGAAGTTTTACTGCAAAACAGAATAACTTTTGAAAGAGTTTGTCTAGTTTGATTATTTCACTTTCACATACACACATCTCACTTAATTCCCAACCCTCTGCAATCTGAATTCCACATCCAATATTGTTCTAAATTCTCTAACTATCTCCATGTTCCTAGATTTAAAAGAGAATTCCCAGTCTTATCTGACTTTACCTCGATATTCTCTATCAGGGTCTAGGCTGGCCTTCTTGAACCCTATCTTTTCTTTTTCCTATAACACTACACACCCAGAACTGCCTTTCAACTCTCTGGCTGCTCTTCTCAACCTCCTTCTGTTCCTTAAATATTGGTATTGCAAACTAAATTGTGTTCTTTCTCATTAAATAACTTCATTTACTCTCTTTACACTAGTGATTTCCAAGTCTATCTCCAACCCAGTTCCTGGTATTAAATTTCAAATTCATGTATTCCACACTTCATTTGTTTTCTCTTTGTGAACCCTAAACAGGCAAACCAAATTCAGTCTGCTTTCCATATCTCAGTGAAGGATGCCACCAAGCCAGTAGTTCAAGCTGGAAAATGAGGAAATCACTCTTAACTTTCTTCAGATGTTTCTCCCTACATTCAAGCAAGTCTTCTGTGTGTTATCCTAAATATCTCTTAAATCCATCACTTCTCTCTGCCCCAACTGCCACCATTTTATTGCAGGTCAATGTCATGTCCTAACCAGTTTATTATTCTACTTCATAATGGTTGCTCCTGCTTCTCACCATGTGATCCATTAATTCCTTTTAAACCAAATGAACTTTTTAAAATGCAAATGTGATCTTCATACATATTTAATGTATATATACATATGAATATATATGCATATTAGTTAAAAATATTGATGTTGTAAATTACAAAAACCTAACTTAGATGGGTTTAAATCAAATGAAAATAAATTTTCTGTCTTAACATTTTAGGAATAGTCTAGTTTCAGTTACAGCTTGATCCAAGACTCAGATTATACTCTGTCCCCAAGCTCCATTCCACAGATGTATTTTATGTGTGTCGATATTATCTTCAGGTTTCCCTCTCTAAGATTCAACATGGCCAAAGAAGTTTCTATGCATCATGTGGTCATGCTACCAAATACAAAAAAAGACCCTTTCTCAGAAGCTTCCGCAAATGACAAATTGTATGTTATTGACTTGTCCCTGAACTAAACACTGTCAACAAAGAGATTAGACATGCCAAGTGATTTAGGCCAATTCCAGTTCACTTCCACACCAATTACATTGGTTGAAATGAGGGACAGAATGAACACAAGAGGAAGTGAATGAGTAAATATCTTACGTGACTTAACACTTTTTCTTTACTTCCTATTGCTGTTCACATAAAGGATACTCTCCTCAGCAGGGCCAACAATGCCCTGCCTGACAGGGTTTCTGCTCACCCCTCCAGGCTCGGCTCTCCCAGTCATCCTACTTGAAGATCTAATCACAGAACTCATTTCAATTTCTCAACTGAGCTCTTTTCCCCATACCTTTTAGCATATGTCATTTCCTGAGGTTCAAGTATAGTTACTTTAGATGTAGTAATGGTTAATTTTGTATGTCAGTTTGACTATACCATGATGCTCAGATTTATGATTAAACATTATTCCGGATGCTTCTAGGAGAATTTTTAGATGGGATTGCCATTTAATTTATGGAGATTCATGTGTGTGTGTGTGTGTGTGAATTTTTTCTCTTTTTGGTGTTAGGGATTGAGTTCAAGGCCTAAACATACGCTCCACCACTAAGCTACCCCCAGACCTGTACACCAGTGGAGTTTGAGCAGGACAGTTGCCCTTCATAATGTAGATGAATGTGAGTTGAAGCCCACGGTAGAACAAGAGGCTGACTTCCCTTGAGCAAGAGAGGAGTTGCAGATCCATAGCCTTCAGATTTGACCTGCCACATGGGCCCCTCCTGATTCTTCACCTCTGCTCACCCTACAGGTTACAGACTTACCAGCTTCTATAACCACCTGGATCTGTTTCTCTGGAGAACCCTCATTAATACAGACAGGTTAGCAAAAGTGAAGACAAATTGCCTACCAATTCCCAAAGGCCCCGAAGAAGTTACTCTCCAATAACAAACTACACAATAATAAGAGATGTGGTATGACATAGTAAGCAATGCTGAACTCTTAAAGATCGTTTTTTATGGAAAAAAAAAAGAGTATAATAAAAACTATAATCTGGATATCAAAACCCAATAATATTCACCTTCTCATTTTACTATTTCTATTCAGTCTAAAAAGTCAAAGTACCCAATTTTTCAGCTTCCTTTGCAACTGGTCTTAAGTGCTTTCCTTTCACAGAAAAAGGTAACAGTAATGTCTTCCTGAGACTTTTGTGTCATCCCCACCCTCTACCTTCTTCCTGCTTGCAATTTAGAAGTAGCCCTAGAGATGCAACATCTGTGAAAACTAGCACAAGGGTGAAAGTCTATGCACGAAGGACAGCCTAGGAGGAAGATGAAAAGAGACTGGGGCCTGGAAGATATTGAAGCCACTGTACCTACCCCTAGGCTTTGTAATGCATGAAATGAGCAAACCCCTATTTGTTTAAGCCACTGAAATAGCATTTTCTGTTATTTACAGATGAATACAGTACTATCTGATATAGATTATACGGTAGAATGATCAGATTTGTCTTCTAGAAGATCAATTGACCTGAGGGAAAGAGAGAGAGAGGGAGAGAGACCCCCATAAGAAGGCTTCTGCAGGACCCCAGGAAAAAGATGATGTGACTCTGAGGGTTTTAGTAAGAGCAAAAAACAACTCATCACAAATTTTGTTAAATTCAGAATTTTTCCCATCTTATGATGAAAACAATTACATAACTACACAATTACAAAATATTTTAAATTAAAAATTATTCCCAAATAAAACAAGGAATGTCCTTGGTCTCAGTTGGATAAACCCAAGGGTAAAACAAAACAAAAGAAAAGCCTCAACCATGTTCCTGAAACACAAGATTTTCATTTTATTGCTGCTCTGAGAATACATCTAATTACTCAATCATGCCAATTAAATAGGAAGTTTACCTGCTGACAAACAGCTATCTTGGGATATATCAGAATAAATTGTAGTAATAATTGGATTTTCTAATCAATATTAACTTTTATCATAATATAAAGGTGCTATTTTCCTTTATATTTAGATACAGCACTTCTAAAAAAATTTTAAAGCTTTTCATTTGTGGCAAAAATTATCATTAAGAAGATAAGATAATCATATTGCCTTGAATCAGTAAATGGTTATCTTATCAGAAAAGGTGAATTATTTGCTTCATTAACTCTCATTAATTATCTGTAAAAAAAAAAAATATATATATATATATATATATATATATATATATATATACTAATTTGAAACCTCAGCGGTATATGTTCTAAATACCATAATTTCATTCTCTCCCCTGATGACATCTTATAACACTATTTTTATAATTAATCCTGAAACATATACTAACAAATACATGCATGGAAGAATACAAAAATTCATGAAAACTGTTCCGTTTTCTGAACTTTTCCCTCTGGAATGCCTCCTGGTAAAACACTGGTTTCCATGTTCCATGCTTGGAAGTGATCATTTTGAAAGTTCATGACACTGTTCAAAACCCTTCTGGCTCTCTGCCTTGCTCCCTGTAGAAGCTGAACTATGACTTTTGAATCCCTACATCACCTGACTTCTGTTCTTCACTAGCCTTATCTCATGCTACTTTTCCCTGCCCTCTACGTGCTCAGACCTTGGCAACCTCCCTGCTGACCCTGAACATCAGTCAATATGCAAGTTGTTTCTCTTGTGGTTCCCTCTGCTTGGAATACTTATTCCCCAGACTCCCCTTGACTACTTCAGATTTTTTTACTCAATTATCCCCTCGGGAGAATTTATCTGACCTCCCATTTAACTCCTAGCTGGGCCTGGTGCCACATACTTTCAGTTTCAGCTAATCAGGAAGCTGAGGCCAAGGAGGATCACTTTAGCCCTGGTGTTTGAGACCAATCTGGACAATATAGTGAGACCTGGTCTCTAAATAAATAAAGTTGTAATTCCTAGCTCTCCAATCTCTTTTCCTGCCTTATTTTTTCTCCTGGGCATTTATAATGATCTAACTTACATTGTTTTTCTCACTTAATTTTACTATCTTCTCCTCCTAAGATCAGCCTCGTGAGGACAGGAATTTTTACTATTCTCTTCACAGCTGTGTCCCCAGCACCTCAAGCAGAATCTGGCAAAAAGTAAGTACTCCATGTTTCTTCGGTGAATAGATTTCAGCCTATTGAATATGGCCATGATGACACCATTGTTTTTGTTGTTGTTTTGTTTTTAACTCCAAGTCTTTCTTTGGCTCACATCTCTCACTTATTAATGACTTCCTAAAATGCTAAAATATTGTTCCTAAAATCACAGATGTAGTTAGCATTCTGTCTCAAAGTTGCTTTAGCCTGCCTCCTTTACTTAAGGTTTCAGCTACTCAATAATATAGAACTTTGTCCCCTAGAAGTCCAATCCCAGGATACATAACTCTAAACACTTGGCCACCTAAAATGTGCCTTTATCCGGCAAAGCAGAATTTAAAAAGAACATGGAGGAACATTGAGTGTGACCAAAATATTATCTCAAAGATATATTAAGAAAAAAAACCTTATAGAATAACATCTTATTTAATTTTAATTAAATAAAATTAAATGCATAGCAATATTCGATATTTCGCTTGTATATCATATATATAATTTTTCTGTAACTATATGTAAATCCACTGAAATAGGTCTAAAAGGATGAACACTCATTGAGAACTGTGGTTAATTTTGGGAAAGTTTGTGGTCTGTGTGGCTGAACAGGTTGGTGAGAAAGAAATTTTGCTCATTTTTGATCATGTATTGATATATTTTTATTTTTATTTTGTTTTACAATTAATTTAATTGGCAAATAATTATTGGATGGGTTGCTATATACCAGTCACTATTGTGGTTGCTAAGAATACAGTAGCAAACAAAACAAAACAAAACAAAAAAACTCCTTCCCCTCTAAAATTTCCATTCCAGTGAGGGAAAACAAAACAATAAACAAAAAGGTCAAACATACAGTAGTTGCTATGTATCTAAACTGCTACGGAGAAAAAATAGAGAAAAGGCAGTTACATGACAGAGGAGGCACTTAAATGTATTTTAACAATGTTTTTGCTTTATTACAAGTATACATAAATAAATTACATAAAATAGTAAAAGTAAATAATAAATTAAAATCAGGAATGCTATATTCATCTCCCTCTTGAGAGATTAGGTTAGGGTTAGTGTTAGGTTATACTAAATTAATTCTCTTAAGAAGTCACATAACCTTTGTCTTATTTTCTTTTTTTTTTTTTTTTAAATATTTATTTATTTTTTAGTTATCAGCAGACACAACATCTTTGTTTGTATGTGGTGCTGAGGATCGAACCCGGGCCTCACGCATGCCAGGTGAGTGCGCTACCGCTTGAGCCACATCCCCAGCCCCTGTCTTATTTTCTAATAAATTAAATAAAATATCTTGGTAAGCAGATATTTCTAATCAGAAACTGGTTTTATGTTTAAAATGAGATTGAGGGACCAGGCACCGTGGTGCATACCTGTAATTCCAGAGGTTCAGGAGGTTGAGGCAGGAGGATCACAAGTTCAAAGCCAACCTCAGCAATTTATCGAGGCCCTAAGCAACTTAGTGAGATCCTGCCTCAAAATAAAAAAATTAAAAGGGCTGGGGATGTGGCTCAGTGGTTGAGTGCTTCTGGGTTCAATCCCTGGAACTAACAAGAAAAAGGAGGGAAGGTTACTGAGGTGATGTCCCAGCCCCTGTAGTCCTAACATGGGGAAATAGGCCTCCTCTAGAAATGCAATTGGCTGAAGAGTAAATTGGTATGTTTCTGGAGGGCAATTTCACAATAATGAAAAAAATATAATATGAAAATGCTCTTTCATGGCCTGATTCATTGGCAGGTATTTACCCTTTCAACATAAACATGTTCACCCATAAATATGAAGAAGGATGTTCATGATCACATCGTTTATAATATCAAAAACTGGAAACAATCAATTCTTCCATTATTGGGTGTGCAAATTGTATATCTAGTCAAAGAATCAAGCTCAACTCTTTTAATTGAAAAAAAAAATGGAAGAGACTATTGAATGAAATCTGATTGTATAAATAAAACATGAATAAAGTGCATGGGTACAATGTGGCTGCCCAATGTACATGAATTTGAATTATGCAAATTAGTTATAACATCATACAAAAATATTAATCTGGTCTTTCTTGTGCTCAGGATTTTCAGTTTTTAGGAAATAGAAGTAATTGTCTACAATGCTCAATGACTTCTCTTAAAAAGTCACACAACCTTTGTCTTATTTTCTAATAAATAAAAAGTATACAGGTGAAGATCCTTTATTCAAAATGTGTAGGACCTGAAGTGTTTATTTTTTATTTTCATTTATTTTTATTTTTATTTGTTCTACTTAGTTGTACATGACAGCAGAATGCATTTCAATTCATCATACACAAACGAAGCACAACATTTCAATTCTTTGATTGTACACGGTGTAGAGACGCACCATTTGTGCAATCATACATATACCTAAGGTAATGATGTCATCTCATTCCACCATTTTTCCTATCCCGATATCCCTTTCCCACCCTCCCCTTTGCCCAGTCCAAAGTTCCTCCATTCTCCTCACCATTCCCTTTGCCCAATCTAAAGTTCCTCTATTCTATCTCCCCATCATAGATCAGCACCCACTAATCAGAGAAAACATTCTGCCTTTAAGTTTTAGGGATTGGTTTACTTCACTTAGCATAATATTCTCCAACTTCATCCATTTGCCTGCAAATGCTACAATTTTATTCTCTTTTAATGCTGAGTAATATTCCATAGTGTATATATACCACAGTTTCTTTATCTATTCATCTGTTGATGGGCATCTAGGTTGGTTCCACAGTTTAGCTATTGTGAATTCAGCTAATACAAACATTGGTGTGGCTATGTCACTATAGTATGATGATTTTAAGTCCTTTGGGTATAGAAAGGTCAAGAAGTGGAATAGCTGGGTCAAATGGTGGTTCCATTCTAAGTTTTCTGAGGCATCTCTACACTGTTTTCCAAGGTTGTTGCACCAATTTGCAATCCCACCAGCAATGTATGAGTGTGCCATTTTCCCCACATTCTCTCCAACACTTATTATTGCTTGTATTCTTGATAACTATCATTCTTACTGGGATGAGATAAATTTTAGAGTAGTTTTCACTTGCATTTCTCTAATTACTAAAGATGTTGAACACTTTTTCATATATTTGTTGATTGCTTGTGTATCTTCTTCTCACAAGTGTCTGTTCAGTTCCTTAGCCCATTTATTGATTGAGTTGTTTGTTTTTTTAGTATTTTTTGAGATCTTTATATATCCTGGAGATTAGTGCTCTATCTGATGTGCATGTGGTATAAATTTGCTCCCATACCGTACGTAGGCTGTCTCTTCACCTCAGTGATTGTTTCCTTTGCCAAGAAGGAGCTTTTCAGTTTGAATCCATCTCATTTGATTCTTGATTTTATTTCTTGCACTTTAGGAGTTTTGTTAAGGAAGTTGGGGCCTAATCTGACACGATGAAGACTTGGGCCTACTTTTTCTTCTATTAGGTGAGGGTCTTTGGTCTAATTCCTAGGTTCTTGATCCGCTTTGAGTTGCGTTTTGTGCATGGTGACCAGAAGTGTTTTGAACTTGAGTTTGGAGTGTTTTTTATTGGTGGGGTTGGAATATTTGCATGTACATAATAAGATATGTTGAGGATAGGACTCAAGTCTAAACATGAAATTAGTTTCTGTTTTATATACACCTTATACACATAGCCTAAATGTAATTTTTTAAATATTTATTTTTTAGTTGTAGTTAAACACAATATCTTCAATTTATTTATTTATTTCTATGTAGTGCTGTGGATAGAACCTAGGGCCTTGCCCATAATAAGTGAGCGCTCTACCACTGAGCCACAACCCCAGCCCCCTAAATGTAATTTTATATAACATTTTTAAATAATTTTAAAAATTAATAATTTTGTTCATGAAACAAATTCTTATGGTGTGGAGTTTTCTATTTTGTGGCATCATGTTGGTACTCAAAATGTTTTGGGTTTTGGAGCATTTTGGCTTTCAGATTTTTAGTTAGTGGTGCTCAACCTATATTTCCATATTAATGAATCCAGTCAGGCACACTAGCACACATCTGTAATCCCAGGATGGTGAGGCAATAGGATACCAGTTTGAGACCAACCTGGACAACTTAGCAAGACCCTGTTTCAAAACAACATCAAAAAGGGCTGGTGATAATAGCTCAGTAGTAGAGTACCCCTGACTCCAATCCCCAGTACCGCAAAAGTAAATGAATAACTAAATAAGTAAATCCAAAAGTTTGGGGTTACAAATAAAAGTACCTGCCGCAGTCTGGCTAGGCACAAATAACAGAGCCTCCACAAAGCCTTGTAGATTCAAACAGCAACTCTTTATTCCCCAACTCTCACCGGCACTGCACACACCACACACGAGAACACACTCCCTCCACTGGGCTCCATCCAATCTCCCCCAACTCAAGGGAACTCCAAAGTAGCCGGCCCCCCAGGCAGCAAGAGCCACCCTATTGCCTGACAGTAAAGGTCAAATATACAATACAATCAATCCAGCATCACAGCAATTATATATATATATATATATATATATATATATATATATATATATATATATATATCTTAACTCAAATCATCATCTCAATGGTTCGCTGGCGTCACCTTTCGACCATTCCCTCTGGCAAATGCCAGGCATCATTCTGACTGGACTGTGGCTTTCAACATGTACCCAGAGGTGCAGTTTAGTTGTTTGAAAGCAAGCAAAAACTAAATTCTCATTAATATGAAGTTCAGTTCATATATTATTCTGGAACAACTATATGAAAATTTGAAAAAAGCAAACATGTCAAGTTATTTTAGACATACAGATTGGTAACCATTTAGATTAGTATGAAATTCTCCAGATCTCAATACTGTAAATCAAACTGTTAACTTTGGGTTTGTGGGAAATAGGGATTTTTTTAAAGCACTGACTTCCACAGACAAAAAAGAAAGCAGAAAGAAATAACTAACACCTCATTTGCAAAATGGTCAATAATGTAAGACTGTAGCCAAATTTTAACATAACCAAAAGGAGTATGGAAATTCATAGACATGTTTAGGGGCTGGGGTTGTGGCTCAGTGGTAGAGTGCTTGCCTTGCATGTGTGAGGCACTGGTTCGATCCTCAGCACCACATAAAAATAAATAAATAAAATAAAGCATTACAATTCATATTACACATATTGTATCCATCTACAACTAAAAAAAATTTTTAAAAAGAAATTCATAGACATGTTTAGAGTGAGCTTTTCATGAAAATGCCTCAAAATTAACTCGCATGGTGAAAATACTGAGAACAGATTAATGCAAAAATTGACATGGACTTTTATGCAATTTTTATATCACATAAATGCAAATGATGTAGAATAATAATTTAAATCGGTGAAAGATGGCTAACTCATTGCATGTATTGGGGTTTTAACCCAAAAGTGATATTGAAGTTAACTTTGGTTTTTATAACCTTAAAAACTCAACCCACTAGAAGTCTCCCAAGTAACTGACAGTGAACCAAATACCATCTCTATGAAGCTATATTTAGGAATTGCTTATTTTATTGTCATGCAAAATACTCAATAAGGGATTTGGCATAGTAGCAAGTACAGTATTAATTTTTTTCTTTTTCTTTTTTTTTTTTTTTTAATACTGGTGATTGAACCGAGTAGTGCTCTACCATTGCACTACACCCTCAATCTTTTGTTTTGAGATTGGGTTCCTCACTAAGTTGCCCAGGCTGGTCTTGAACTGTCGATCCTTCTGCCTCATCCTCCCGCGTAGCTGGGATTGCAGGTGTGTGCCACACATCAAGCAATAGTAGTGAATATATTATTAATGCTAAGATAATAATAAGGCTAGTCATGAGAGTGTGGGTGTGATGTCTGAATACAAGACACTGCACAGAGACTACCTGTTTTAGCTAAGATTAGTGGAAAGACAGTGGGTGGCAAATGCTCTTTCAAGAAAGTGTGGGGCAGGATCCTTTCATCTTGTTACTACGAACAAACAAAATCCTAGGCAAAAAGGTCAGAAAGTAAAGAGAATGAGCAGATATAATAGAAAGCACTAAGGGAAAAAAAAAAGAGGCAAAGCTAGTTACAATGGGGGAAAACTTGGTTAAAACCTCATTCATTTAGCTTAATTATTGTGAAGAATAGTCCAAATAATAATGATATAAAAATACATTTTTACTACATAAACATAGAAATCACAGAAACCTATATTTGTTGGGTGTTTACTGTGTGTGAAAGCATTAGTCACAGAGATACAAAGAAAAAATTAGG